ACATCTATTCTCGTTTGCGAAACAAAATGCAGATGCGTTGTCAGCCGTGTGGACTAAGAGGAATAAGATCGAATCTGGTGTGTTTCCTGATTTAATGAAACATAGTAAAGTCATCATCATCATCATCATTACAGCCCTTCACAAGTCCACTGCTGAACATAGGCCTCCCCCAAAAAATGCCACAAAGCACGGTCCTGAGCCACCTGCATCCATCGACTTCCTGCATGTCTTACTAGGTCGTCACTCCATCTCGTGGGGGGACGCCCTACACTTCGCCTACCGGTACGAGGCTGCTACTCGAGAACCTTTCTTCCCCATCGGTTGTCGGTTCTTCGAGCTATATGGCCGGCCCACTGCCACTTCAGCTTACTAATCCGTTGGGCTATGTCGGTTACTCTGGTTCTACTGCGGATATCCTCATTCCTAAGTTTATCACGCAGAGAAACTCCGAGCATAGCCCTCTCCATAGCTCGCTGAGCGACCTTGAGCTTCCTCATACGGCCAGCAGTGAAGGACCACGTCTCAGTTCCATAAGTCATCACTGGCAACACGCACTGGTTGTACAATTTCGTTTTCAGGTTTTGAGGTATGTCTGACGAGAAGATGTGTCGTAGCTTCCCGAACGCTGCCCAGCCGAGTTGAATCCGTCGATTGACCTCTCGGTCGAAGTTGGACTTACCTAGTCGGACTATTTGTCCCAGGTAAACATACTCGTCAACAACTTCGAGCTTAGTGTTCCCAACAACTACCGGCATAGGTGTGACATGGACATTGAACATGATCTTTGTTTTGTCCATGTTCATCTTAAGACCTATCCGTTGGGAAACACTATCGAGGTCATTGAGCATAGTGCTTAGGTCCTCCAGCGATTCTGCCATAAGGACTATATCGTCGGCAAATCGAAGGTGAGTGATGTACTCGCCATTGATGTTGATACCGTATCCTTTCCAGTCCAGAAGCTTGAAAACGTCTTCCAATGCAGCGGTGAAGATTTTCGGGGATATGACGTCACCCTGTCTTACACCTCTCTGCAATTGGATAGGTTTCGTACTCTGGTTCTGTACTCGGATAGCCATCGTAGCCCTACTGTACAAGCAGTTCAACACTTCGATATACCGACAGTCAACTTGGCACCGCTGAAGGGACTGCAGCACCGCCCAAATTTCGACGGAATCAAAGGCTTTCTCATAGTCCACATACGCCAGACATAGTGGCAAATTGTGCACTTCGGACTTCTGTACAATTTGCCGAAGGGTATGTATGTGGTCTATGGTTATAAAGCCCTTTCGGAAACCGGCTTGTTCGGGAGGCTGGAAGTCGTCAGGTCTGCGCGCGAGACGATTCGTAATGACTCTCGAAAACAGCACGTAGACGCGGCTCAGAAGGGAAATCGGTCTGTAGTTCTTCAAGAGAGCGTTGTCACCTTTCTTGAAGAACAAGACCACCGCACTTCTGCTCCACGCCTCCGGTGTAATGCCACCATGGAGGACGGAATTAAAGAGCTTCTGAAGGACTTCAAGTACCGGTCTTCCACCCGCTTTCAGAAGCTCCGCTGTAATTCCATCCTCGCCTGGGGCCTTACCGTTTTTAAGGGTGCTGGAGAGCCATTCTAATCTCGCTCAGACTGAGGTCGGGGATATCTTCGGAATAGTGTCGGATGAGACTCGCTCTTGGATCGTTACTCACACTTGCGTGTGGCTCCAACGATGACGTGTACAGCTGCCCATAGAACCTCTCAATCTCACTCAAAATCTCAGGTGTCCCAGAAACGATGCTGCCACATTCAGTCTTCAGCTTTGACAGGTGGCTCTTTCTGGCAGACAGATCTCTGGCAAAGACTTTGGAGCCTTGGTTCCGCTCGATCGCTTCTTCAATACGAGCTGTATTGAAGTTGCGTAAGTCCCGCCGCATGCATTTGGAGATCTGTCTGTTCAGATACCTGTATGCTGTCAAGTCTGTTGAAGAATGTAGCTTCATCTCCCGTCTAACAGCCATGAGATTAAGAGTGTGATCGGAGAGTTTTTGTGTTCTTCTGCGGCGGGTCTTGCAGAACTTAGCTCCGACCGCATGGACAGTTTCCACGAGCTTGTCATTCATATCGTCCACTTCATTGCAGTCTTCTAGGCACTGAAAACGGTTTTGTAACTCGAGCTGAAAGGTCTCGGTACTTTGGAACAGAGCACGAGTGGGACGGAGCGTTGACTTCATTAGACGAGACCTCTCCAACTTAACGTTTAGGTTCAGTGTGCCTCTAACCATTCGGTGATCGCTACCAGTTTTCACCCTCGCGATCACGGAGACATCACTGAACAGTTGTCGTCTGGTCGTCATAATGAAGTCAATCTCATTTTTTGTCGAACCGTCGGGGCTCGACCAGGTCCACTTCCTGTGGGGCCGCTTCTGGAAGAAAGAGTTCATCATAAAGAGTCCCTCTTTCTCCATGAAGTCGGCCAGCTGCTGGCCCCTTGGGTTCCGTTGCCCTATTCCAAATTTCCCTACTTTCAGCTCACCGTTCTCTCTTGTGCCTAGTTTTGCATTGAAGTCTCCCATCAACACAAATATTGGGTTTTGGAGGAATGCATGGCTCTAGAGATATCCTCATACATTTCCTCCACCTCCACATCGGGGTGTGCCGAGGTTGGTGCGTAAACCTGTATGACCTTCAGCGAATACCCTTTGGTGATTCTGAGTATAAGGTACGCAACCCTCGTCGACACACTCCCGATCTTTACAATGTTGTTAACGAGAGACCTGTGGACGATAAATCCGACACCTCCTTGGGACAGATGGTCGCCCTCCCGGTGATAGAGCAAGTTGCCGGATTCGAGGATTACCGTGTCCTCCCCCTCTCTTCGGACTTCGGATAATCCTATAATATGCCAGCGCAACTTGTCTATCTCTTCTTCCAGCTCCACGATCTTCTCGTCAGTCCTCAGGGTGCGTGCGTTGTACGTTGCCAGGTCGAGTCGTCTAAGGTGGCAACCGAACCTCCACCGGAGATTCTTAGCACCCCCTGCCCCGCCGTCACCATGGTCGCCACCGTAGCCAGGAATAGCGGGGCCGCCGGGGACTGGGGGCCGTCTCTTTGTTACATTCATAGAGGGGTTTTTGCCATAGTTGCCACGCTTGGCGAGCGGGTTGGCAACCGCAGTTTTTTTTTTATTGTCTGGCTATTATCAGGAAGATGCTGCTGCCCATCTTTTGCCTGTTTCCCTTTGTCGCCTTTTACGACACCCACGGGAGGATATGGGGTAGTGGTATTCTTGACCGCCACTACACGGCGGTAAAGTCATACCTTTATATAAATCTGGTAGTACATTAGACCCCGCCAATTTTAGACCAATTTCTGTACTACCAACATTTAGTAAAATTTTTGAAAAAGTAATTTTAGATCAGATGTTAAGTTTCTTTAATATTAATAAATTGCTACATAGAAATCAATTCAGTTTTACAAGGGGTCGCTCGACAACTGACGCTGGAGTTGAGCTTATTAAACATATTTTTTGTGCATGGGAGAATTCAGAGGACGCTTTGGGTATATTTTGTGACCTTTCCAAGGCCTTCGACTGCGTTCACCATGAGATATTAATCAGAAAGATACAGTTAGTACTGTAAAAAAAGAGTTATTATAGTATGAATGAATACATGGTTGATAATAACCCCTGGGAATGAGGTGATCGCTTCCAAGCTGTTTCTAAAGTAAATTTTGTACTTATATAGTTTGTACAACCATTAATGTTAAAGACCACGCTCTCACAGAAAACCAGCGTAAAATAGCAGCTTAACACCGTATGGTGAGTGTAGAGGACCGGAGACCCTTTTTACTGGCAAAGAGGCATTTCATTTTAGTTCTCACGGGTGACAACGCATCTGCATCTTGAGTCTTTATTGAGGATAGATGTAGATGTCTATGGGTCACAGTAACCACTTACCATCAGGTGGACTGTGTGCTCGTTTGTCACCCGATCCTATATAAAAAAATATATATATAATGTAAGATTTGTTTTAAATAAAAGTCCCGCTGGGTTTCTTGCTGGTTCTTCCCAGGACAGAGGTTTTTTTTTCGAACCAGTGGTAAAGTAAAAAATGACTTTCAATAACATTTACACATGTGATCTATATTGAATAAAAAATTATTCTATTCTATTCAAATGCCTCTTTTCCGGTAAAAAGGGTCTCCGATACTCTACACTTGCCGTACGAAACACAGCAGCATTAAGCTGCTATTTTTTATTATTTATTTACGCTTTATACGTGGCAGAGTCATGCTGCAGCTATATTAGTAGTATAGTTGTAGCACGAATGGGTCGGCTCGGCCGCTCGACCGGGAAAGGACCACACTCTCACAGAATACCAGCGTCAAATAGCAGCTTAACACTGCTGTGTTTCGTATGGTGAGTGTAGAGAACCGGAGACCCTTTTTACTGGAAACAAGGCATTCCTTCTTAGGTCTCACGGGTGGCAACGCATCTGCATTTTGATTCGCAAACGAGGATAAATGTAGATGTCTATGGATCACAACAACCACTTACCATCAGGTGGGCTGTGTGCTCGTTTGTCACCCCCCTGTACTATAAAAAAAAATTACGCTGGTATTCTGTCAGAGCGTGGTCCTTCTCCGGTCGACCTGACCCATTCGTGTATCAACTATACAATTAATATATCTGCAGCATGACTCTACCACGTATGAAATACGTGTGTGTAAGCTACTACTCCACCACGTATTTATGATGGGACACATCATCATATCATAACTTTGTTATGTAATGTATGCTAGTCCTATATAATGCTAGTCCACCCAGCTAGTGAGATCGCCCCACACTGCGCTTCTCAATATGTGGCTGCTACTCGTAAAACTTTCTTCTTCCTTTCCTTATGTGTAATATATTATGTATAATTTGAAAAAAGTGTTATGTTTGTTACAGTTGATATACTTGAAGCCGAAATCGTGATAAAATTGGCTAGTAAAAATGAAGAAACACTAACGCGTTTTATCAAAAATGAGTACTTGGTGTTGCATCGTAATCATGATTTCTACGATCAGTACTGGTGTGTTATTGCCAATGCCACAAAACAAAGAAAAAAAGGAAACGTATGGTAATAATATTTAATATTTAAAAAAAAAAAGAAAACGTTTACCCCACACTAGGATTTTCTCTTGTATCGTGGAGGCAGTTTACAAACACAAATTGCACAAGGACAAACATCCAGACCCGGTACAATTATTTGTAGGCCATACAAATACTTGTTCCGTGCGGGATTCGAACCCGCGGCTCCCAGCGCAGCAACTCATTGCTAAGCCACTGCGCCATGGAGCCGTCAAATATATATAATACATAATACAATACTTCTGTTATTACACATTATCAATGTTGTCTAGGCCCTTCACCGTTTTTATGGCAGAAGTTTAAATGGAAGAAATTCGAATGGAAAAACAATACAAAAAGATAGACTGTCAGTTATTCAGTTCTTTACAGAACTAACACACACACACACACACACTCACTTTTCACAAAAAGAACGAAACACATACACGAAACTAATCAGTGGTAGGATGAAAGCAGAAACCTAAAACAATTGTTGGGCATGTATTTGTGTGCAGCGCAATGGTACAATTTGACAGTGGCTCAGTGCGTGTATTGTCCACTAGGAAGCAAAGTAAATTTTCAGCTACTGCCCGAAGTGCGGTTAAGTTATTTGCTTGCTTATATGAATACCTGAATAATTAGAGTAAAGTTAAAAAATTACATACGTCAGGTCACGTAGAAAAGGTAAATTATTTACAAGTAATAATACGAATTTTCTTATTTCAAATTCCTCTTTACTTATTGTATCAGTAAAATTAAAATGATTAATTGATAAATAGATCTGCATCAGGAACATTTTCATGCGTTGATTTTTTTACGATTACAATTTTAGCATAAAAGCGAACGAATCGTTGACAGACTTTAGATAGTATTTATGGATATATGTATGCCCATTAAAGGCCATCGACGGTTTGGCTGTTTCAAAAGGAAGCAACTTTATGAAGCTTTGTTTAAATGCTGGAGTTCTTTGAATAGATTTTATAACAAAAACTTTAAGCCATAGAACTTTTTTTTAGTTACGTACATCTTTCTGATTGGCTAACGTAAGAATATAATATACACTCAATAATATAATATACGCCCAATTTTTTTATTAATTTTTAAAAGATAATTTCTATCACCAGATCGCCATTACTGGTATTCTCAAGCAGAGCATACTCTTCAAAAGCGTTTGCAATATGCACCAGAAAAGAATCCAATAGCAAAGTAAGTTCTTTTGTTACTTTTGTTAGTATACTAATATTTCTTTAGTTTCATATAGGTACTTCTAGTAATCTGATATGGGTATTGATGGATTGTAAGAGGGGGCAAAAGAGCATGTGGCTCAATTAATGGTAAGTGACTACCGCCGCCCATAAACAACTGTAATACCACGGGAATTGCAAGTACCTTGCCGGTCTTTTAAAAAAGAGTAGGTAGTTATGTTCTTTTTTTGAAGGACCCTAATTCGTATTGGTATAAAAAATGCTGTAGCTAATTCCTCAAAGCAGTAGCGCAAGAAAGAGAACTCCCTAATAAGTTGCACAGTGGTGGGCCGCCAAGCATCTAGATGTTATGGATGGTATCATGAATTTATCATGATGTGCGATGGTGGAATTTGGTGACTGGAATTAACCCGAACAATTGCTATGAGCACTCAAAGTAAGAAATGCGATTAAAACATTTGTTACCAGCGCCAGTGAATCGAGCCTGATCACTCGGTCGTCGAAAATTTGTACCGCTTTTCAGGTGCTTGTATGAACTGTCGCGGCGGCGGTAGTGTGCGAAAGCGTTCCCGAATGCCCGGCAAAGGGCGAAGAGATGAACACCTAACTAGCACTAACCTGTCTATCACCCCCTCAACAAAAGACGAGCATGGGTATTTTTCCACATATATAATAAAGGTCTAAAAGGTCTAAAGGTCGCCTAACAAAATTTACTAATTGTAACTTCTTCCAAAATCAATTTTAGAATATTAAGGGATAAGTCTCGTTTAAATATTTCTATTTTACAATCAGAAGCGGAATATGTTATTTTAAATCCGTTGTTAGAGTTGTGTAAACTCAAAAAAATTTTAAATTGCTCTCACATTTAAATTTAACTGTTCTTTGTTTATATAATATTAATGTTGAATTCCTTTTTACCAAAATATACAGAAACTCAATGTGTACACACGTACTCGCTTAAAATGAATAATTTAGTAATTGATATTATTCATAATTTCATGGAAATCATAGTAGATGTTGTAAAAGAGTTTCAAAAATATACTTAGAGTCACGATATTCGTAAATACGAAATTTTAATTTGAAGATAGTAATGTCGTTTTGAAACATGTAGGAGCTTTTATTCCAATTAAAACCAGTTTTCCTTCTTTTTTAAAATTTATTTTCTAGTTAATTCTCTAATTCGTTTGTATGAAGTAAATAGTAAAATAAAGTAGTAAAAGCGTCAGTAGCCTAATGGCAGGGTGCGGACCGTGTACTCGAATATTCGTGGGTTCAAATGCGCCATTCGACTACTGTCGTGAACAACTTCTATTACAAGCATTTTAAGCATACCAGAAGTGGTTAAAGGAGATATTAGTGATGTTTAATAGCATTACTAGTATTAAAAAATAAGTATTTTTTGTATATTTATATAAGATAATAATCTAACTTCATTAATTATTTACTTAAAATATTTTTTCTACAAAAGAAACATCATTCTTGTTGTCGGCGATGGTATGAGTTTAACGACATCAACTGCAGCAAGGATTTTAAAAGGGCAACGAATAGGACAATTTGGCGAAGATACAGATTTGGCTTGGGATACTTTTCCTGCCGTGGCTCTTGCTAAGGTAATAAATTTCATTTACTCAAGATAAATGTCAAATTTAGCAAAGACAATTCAATATTTCGATAAGAAAATAGTTGCAACACTTCAGTAGTAATATTTCAGTTACATATTTTAGTGATTAAAGCAAGGCAGGAAAGAACACATATGAAATGGTATTTAGTGAAGCAAGGCACGTTTTCACCTTTTAACTATTTCTGGTGCTAAGCAACGGTGCATTAATTGTTATTTACCAAATTGGAGAGTGAGATAGATTTTATCTCAGAGTGTCCATGGGATAAAGCAGCTATGATCTTTTGTTTTGATTGCAGAACTAAAATCAATATTTGTTTTTCACTGTAAAAGATGTAGATTTACAAATGGCTGTTAGCGTTCTAGTTATAGATTTGCCTACGAATTTAGATAATTTAAGAAGGTCTAAGAATTTACAACAGGTAAGCTGCGCCAGTATTTTTTATTAAAGTACAATAAGTGTAAAAAAACAGCCTTTACAAGGGCGATACTGAAAGTTTTTAGCACTGGCCACTTGTGAACGATATAATAAAAAATAATTTCAAATTTTGAAAATGGAACTCTTTGCCAATATTATTTTGTATGTATTTTATTGATTTATTATTTGTTTAAGATTTGGCGGCAAATAAAATTGTCTGTGTCACAACAGCATGAATTTAACGCGAGAAAATTTTCGTACAATGATTTTTTATGACTTTCGATGTCATTTAAGCCAACAAGAAAGTTATGATAGACTTCGATTGGCCTTTCACGATGAAGCCCTATCTCGTGCCACGTTGTAAACAACTGATTTAATAAGTTTAAACGTGGTCGATTATGGGTGAGCTTATCACCCATAATCTGCGTGAGGGACGGCCTTCTACGGCGACGACTGAAGATAACATTAGTGTTGTGCGGTGTGTGATAGAGACAGATAAAAGAGTGACTTATTAGCAGACTTGGGCAAGCTTAGGTCTCCGTATGAGTCAGGTGCACAAAATCCTCCGTGAACATTTAGCGGTCAGGAAGCTTTATGCCCGGAGGATACCTCATAATTTGACAGAGGCCCAAAACTCCGTCGTGTTGATTGGTGTCGTGAAATGGTTCATAGATGTTGTTGATGTGTTGTGTTCGGCATACTTACGGGTGACGAAAGCTTGATTTATTGTTATGATCCTGAAACTAAGAGATAGTCTGTTGTCTGGGTGTTTCCTTCTGAGGAGTTGCCAACTAAAGTTGGAGAGGTCGAAGCGTGGGAAAAAAGACGGCAGCCTCGTTCTTCGGAAAGACAGGTCATTACGCAATAATTAGTTTAGAGAATCGAAAAACAGTTACTGCAGAGTGGTACACTAACAGTTGTTTGCCGCTTGTCTTGAAAAAAGTTCGCCAAGCAAACAATCGACTACTTCAGACGCGCGCTGCGACGTCAGACGTGATATTACTGGGTCACCCGCCCTATAGACCCGAACTCGTCCTTGCTATGTTTATTTATTTCCTAAAATAAAAGAAAACTTCGAGGAAAACGTTTTATGAATGCCGAGGAAGCAGCGGCTGCGTTTCAAAATGCCGTTGAAGAGACCTCTAAGGACGAGTGGGCAAAGTGCTTTTCTCATTGGTGCCACCATTATCATCATCATTACAGCCCTTCACAAGTCCACTGCTGAACATAGGCCTCCCCCAAAGAATGCCACAAAGCACGGTCCTGAGCCACCTGCATCCATCGACTTCCTGCATGTCTTACCAGGTCGTCACTCCATCTCGTGGGGGGACGTCCTACACTTCGCCTACCGGTACGAGGCTGCCAATCGAGAACCTTTCTTCCCCATCGGTTGTCGGTTCTTCGAGCTATATGGCCGGCCCACTGCCACTTCAGCTTACTAATCCGTTGGGCTATGTCGGTTACTCTGGTTCTACTGCGGATATCCTCATTCCTAAGTTTATCACGCAGAGAAACTCCGAGCATAGCCCTCTCCATAGCTCGCTGAGCGACCTTGAGCTTCCTCATACGGCCAACAGTGAAGGACCACGTCTCAGTTCCGTAAGTCATCACTGGCAACACGCACTGGTTGTACAATTTCGTTTTCAGGTTTTGAGGTATGTCTGACGAGAAGATGTGTCGTAGCTTCCCGAACGCTGCCCAGCCGAGTTGAATCCGTCGATTGACCTCTCGGTCGAAGTTGGACTTACCTAGTCGGACTATTTGTCCCAGGTAAACATACTCGTCAACAACTTCGAGCTTAGTGCTCCCAACAACTACCGGCATAGGTGTGACATGGACATTGAACATGATCTTTGTTTTGTCCATGTTCATCTTAAGACCTATCCGTTGGGAAACACTATCGAGGTCATTGAGCATAGTGCTTAGGTCCTCCAGCGATTCTGCCATAAGGACTATATCGTCGGCAAATCGAAGGTGAGTGATGTACTCGCCATTGATGTTGATACCGAATCCTTTCCAGTCCAGAAGCTTGAAAACGTCTTCCAATGCAGCGGTGAAGAGTTTCGGGGATATGACGTCACCCTGTCTTACACCTCTCTGCAATTGGATAGGTTTCGTACTCTGGTTCTGTACTCGGATAGCCATCGTAGCCCTACTGTACAAGCAGTTCAACACTTCGATATACCGACAGTCAACTTGGCACCGCTGAAGGGACTGCAGCACCGCCCAAATTTCGACGGAATCAAAGGCTTTCTCATAGTCCACATACGCCAGACATAGTGGCAAATTGTACACTTCGGACTTCTGTACAATTTGCCGAAGGGTATGTATGTGGTCTATGGTGCTAAAGCCCTTTCGGAAACCGGCTTGTTCGGGAGGCTGGAAGTCTTCAAGTCTGCGCGCGAGACGATTCGTAATGACTCTCGAAAATAGCACGTAGACGCGGCTCAGAAGGGAAATCGGTCTGTAGTTCTTCAAGAGAGCGTTGTCACCTTTCTTGAAGAACAAGACCACCGCACTTCTGCTCCACGCCTCCGGTGTAATGCCACCATGGAGGACGGAATTAAAGAGCTTCTGAAGGACTTCAAGTACCGGTCTTCCACCCGCTTTCAGAAGCTCCGCTGTAATTCCATCCTCGCCTGGGGCCTTACCGTTTTTAAGGAGCTGGAGAGCCATTCTAATCTCGCTCAGACTGACGTCCGGGATATCTTCGGAATAGTGTCGGATGAGACTCGCTCTTGGATCGTTACTCCAACGATGACGTGTACAGCTGCCCATAGAACCTCTCAATCTCACTCAAAATCTCAGGTGTCCCGGAAGCGATGCTGCCACATTCTGTCTTCAGCTTTGACAGGTGGCTCTTTCTGGCAGACAGATCTCTGGCAAAGACTTTGGAGCCTTGGTTCCGCTCGATCGCTTCTTCAATACGAGCTGTATTGAAGTTGCGTAAGTCCCGCCGCATGCATTTGGAGATCTGTCTGTTCAGATGCCTGTATGCTGTCAAGTCTGTTGAAGAATGTAGCTTCATCTCCCGTCTAACAGCCATGAGATTAAGAGTGTGATCAGAGAGTTTTTGTGTTCTTCTGCGGCGGGTCTTGCAGAACTTAGCTCCGACCGCATGGACAGTTTCCACGAGCTTGTCATTCATATCGTCCACTTCATTGCAGTCTTCTAGGCACTGATAACGGTTTTGTAACTCAAGCTGAAAGGTTTCGGGACTTTGGATTAGAGCACGAGGGGGACGGAGCGTTGACTTCATTAGACGAGACCTCTCCAACTTAACGTTTAGGTTCAGTGTGCCTCTAACCATTCGGTGATCGCTACCAGTTTTCACCCTCGCGATCACGGAGACATCACTGAACAGTTGTCGTCTGGTCGTCATAATGAAGTCAATCTCATTTTTTGTCGAACCGTCGGGGCTCGACCAGGTCCACTTCCTGTGGGGCCGCTTCTGGAAGAAAGAGTTCATCATAAAGAGTCCCTCTTTCTCCATGAAGTCGGCCAGCTGCTGGCCCCTTGGGTTCCGTTGCCCTATTCCAAATTTCCCTACTTTCAGCTCACCGTTCTCTCTTGTGCCTAGTTTTGCATTGAAGTCTCCCATCAACACAAATATTGGGTTTTGGAGGAATGCATGGCTCTAGAGATATCCTCATACATTTCCTCCACCTCCACATCGGGGTGTGCCGAGGTTGGTGCGTAAACTTGTATGACCTTCAGCGAATACCGTTTGGTGATTCTGAGTATAAGGTACGCAACCCTCGTCGACACACTCCCGATCTTTACAATGTTGTTAACGAGAGACCTGTGGACGATAAATCCGACACCTCCTTGGGACAGATGGTCGCCCTCCCGGTGATAGAGCAAGTTGCCGGATTCGAGGATTACCGTGTCCTCCCCCTCTCTTCGGACTTCGGATAATCCTATAATATGCCAGCGCAACTTGTCTATCTCTTCTTCCAGCTCCACGATCTTCTCGTCAGTCCTCAGGGTGCGTGCGTTGTACGTTGCCAGGTCGAGTCGTCTAAGGTGGCAACCGAACCTCCACCGGAGATTCTTAGCACCCCCCGCCCCGCCGTTACCATGGTCGCCACCGTAGCCAGGAATAGCGGGGCCGCCGGGGACTTGGGGCCGTCTCTTTGTTACATTCATAGGGGGGTATTTGCCATAGTTGTCACGCTTGGCGAGCGGGTTGGCAACCGCAGTTTTTTTATTGTAATTTTGGCTATTATCAGGAAGATGCTGCTCCCCATCTCCTGCCTGTTTCCCTTTGTCGCCTTTTACGACACCCACGGGAGGATATGGGGTAGTGGTATTCTTGACCGCCACTACACGGCTTGGTGCCATCGGATGCAGCTATATTGATGTAAATGGACAATATTTCGAAAAGATATAATAAAACTAATAACTTGCTAGTTTGTTCAGTTTTTGATTTTCTAAGAAACTGAGAACTGATTTTCTGAGAACTTTTAGTGTCACCCTCGTATATTGTGTTCATTCCACAGCTGGGCTGCTGTTGTTGTATTTTTTATAATATAAGGGTTACCAATGAGCTCTCAGTTCATCTGATGGTAAGT